ATGATATCACATTTGTCTTGAGGAAATAGACAATTTGAAATGGACAACTGAGAACAAACTGCTTGATCTGCATCATCTTCAACGACCAATGTGAGTTTTTTGTTCTTGAAGTCGAGCCTTTGAATTTTCTCCCAAAAGAAGAGACCAATCTTCTGATTACCATCGAAAACCAACGTTCCAGTCGGCGTTAAACCCAACCTTAAAAGCGAGATGTTCTATTCACAAACAAAATGCTTTGAGCTGCAGCAATCAGTCGGCGTTGAATGATGAATAAACGTTGAACAGAATGAGAGGCAGTATTCAGCTGACCTGTATATATTACCATCTTTTCCTTCAACCGTATGCATATCAACACCGTAAAGTTCGATCCACTTCGCTTTATTCAGGTAGTTCAGTTCCGCTGTAGCTGGTGACTGGCCTCTGAGCAATTTAGACTTTATTTCACAAATTTTTTTAAGATGTAAAAATTTGCTCCTAATGAAGATTTTCTCGGAAATGAGTGAGTATTAATAAACCGAAATTCATTTGTAACCACATCAGAAATTCACTTGATGAACATTTGATGGCTCGGTTATCGAATCAATCAAAAATAGTCGTCCACAACAGCTACAGTTCAAAGAGTCGTACGATAGTTACAGACGGAGCGCAGTTCAACGAGTAGCTAAACAGCCAACCTGCATGTCATGTATTTTTCAAGGATTGCAATTTCCATATCTTCATCTTGCTCGGGGTGGAAACGAAACTCGGATACGAAGGCGGCGTTGTGTTCTACAGGGTTGTAATCACCGAATTCAGCTGAAATCGTGAAAAGTTGAATGCAAACGAAATTTTCGTGAACGTATCATCGCAGACGATTTCATTACGAAACGCAATCAAACTCACACTGTAGCGCCAGTGCGGCCAATTCAATAGCTGTTTCTTTTGGACATTCCAGTTTTCCCGTTTGAATGTCTTGTTTCAACTGTAGAAAGAACTGATACCTAAAAATATTCAGTCTCGCCATTTAAAAAGAAGCACATCATTCTCATTATGAAAATACCATTTTGGAGGCAACACTTTTTTAGCATAAACAATTTGTATT